AATATGTTTGTGTTGTACATTATACGTTTTTGAGAAATAAAAATGTGAGATGCTTGCTGAAAAATTTGGTGATCAATAGTATCTTTTTTGGTGATCATTTGTATCTAAATATGTTTGGTGATCAAAAGCACATTTACTCTAAGAAAAATCTAACGATAACTATCGGTTAGAAGAATAATTCTTCAAAGTTTTCTCGTTGCCTAACTAATCGTTTGTTTTATTGTATCTAGGAATACTTTATTGAAAGTTCTCAAATAAGTTTCAAACGAATCGGCGGTATTGCATCTTTCTTTAGTAGTAAAAAGACGAAAAGTACTCGTTCTAATCTACAGTACGTTCAAATTGAACATCAAATTCGTCAAACACCGAATTGGCCTCTAATCAATGATAAAGTTGAAGAACCGATCGCTGTTAGAGGAGGGGATAATGAAAGAAATAGTAATTACCATGATAATAACTCGACAATTGTGGATAATTTTGATGGAAATACAAATCATCAAAACACAACTATATCCATAATAGGAAATATTCAACAATCATCATCCACTGGTGATAATGACGTTTGTTCAACAAACTTTTAAACTATTTTTTTATTGTTATTATTTTATATTAATTATTATATAAACTGTTATTCGATTATATCTGTTTGTATGAAATTTTCATTTGCTTTTGTATTTGTTGAGGACAGAACTACTTATCATTTTGAATTCTTTTATTAATCTTTTTGATTTGATCCGATTGTTATGGATTTAACAATTAGTATATAAGAAGATTAGACAAAAGGATAATGTTTCTTTCAGTCTAAAAATTAAGTTTTTGTGTTGCAGACGTCCTTCTTTTAAGCGTTCGACACTTAGCATTAATTTGTCTCTCTTGCTTTTGATTTATCGCGTAATATTTCGCACTAGTTTATTATCTAATGACACTTTGTTAATTCATTTTTTAGGTATGCTTATCAAATTGCTTTCTAATCGGGTTGCATCTTTTGGCAGTAATACATTCTATAGATTTTTTACATCTGTCTTTCTATTCTGTTTCTTTTTTGCTGTTAATATTGATAATTTATGATCTTGTTGAAAAATAAAGCTTTTCTTATCTCAGCCGTGTTTGAAAACGCATTGATTATGTCATATCATACTATTTCGATATTTATGTTTTCATCGAGTTAAACTCAGCCTTGTATTAAAAAATGTCGTCAAATGAAATTTTACATCAATTTACTCAATATGCCGAATTATCTAACAATAACAGTGAGAATAGTATAACAAACAGTGGAGATTAAAAATTCAAGATACATATCGTTTTTAGGGCGTTTGATAATCTAGATTTTGTATATAAATTATTGAAGTTTCTATATTTATATTATGTGTACATGTCTAGAGTTCGGCATTTGGTTAAGTTATATTTTTCTAGGTCTATACGAGGAATTAGATCATCTTGTTCACTCATTTTCGCTTGTA